CGCTTCTCGTCTTTTGATTGCGTCTTCTTGTGAAGGCGATCCATGATGGACACGCGTTTCCGCACGCCGCCGGTGCCGCCGACCCGCTGCGTTGCCCATCGTTGTCGCTTTGTCGGCACCGAGACGTTGCTGGGCACCTCCCTGGCCTCCAGTCCGAGCTCATGGAGCTCTGCGCCAAGATGTTCCGAAGCCATTTAGGCTAGTTGTGGCCCTCACGGGGGCATGCAATAGGCGACCGTGCTGTGATTATCACGACGGGGGAGGGAGAGCATCCGCTCCAACGAGCCGGGCCCCGACGGTGGCAGCCAGATCCTCGTATACTCTCCTTTTACTGGTATCGGCAGTTCCGCGGGCCAAGGGGGGTAGTTAGACGAAGCGGCGCAATGCAGTTAAAATATATACAGCGAAGATTGCGACTTGAACGGTCGTGGTGGGACAACAGGACGAGAGGGCTGCAGTCCGAGGGGGATGAGGTTGGCGGAGGGACCCCAAACCGAGTGGCAGAGGGTGGATGGCAAAACGAGCGGAAGTGTAGGGAAGTCGAGAAAGGTAGATTATCGGAAGCTAGATCATATGGGAATTGACATGTAGGATTTGAGGGACGTGACAAAGAAAGCCTCAGGCACGGGGCAAAAGAAAAGAAAAGAAAAGAAAAAAAAAGGGACGGAAACTCCTGAGTTCAAGGGCAGTTCACGCAGCGAGGTGAGGGTGAGGAGAGAGAGGGAGAGAAGCGGAGGGAGCGAGGAATTACAAGATTCAGACGGAGAGTACCTTGACTTACTAGTGATTATTTGCTGCTGCTCTGGCCCCGACGGAGGTAAGAGAGATTCTTACGGATTACCAATTTACCTTACGTGCGGGCGGGTTTAACGGCACTACGGACTGCAGGCGGCGCCCACGGGTGCTTGTCAGCCCGGTACGGTATGGTCATTAGTACCTTACGGTGGTAGTCCCTCCAGGGAATCCTCGCGGAAAGAAGAACGCGTAAGTTTCCCATCAAATGGATCATCATCTTAATAATAATGGACATCGACTCGGTTTTTTCTGTCGTGTTTCATCTACATCAATCGATCCTGCCATCTGGTGAAAAACCTGTCGACAGCTTGTCCCTTTTTCGTTCGTTTTTTCTGCAATTTCTTTCAGTCTTAAAAGCGCCCCAACCCCATCGTTGGCGGTTTTTTATGTCAGATTATTAGATTATTAGTTAGTTACCTACCTAGTGAGCTAACTAAGAGGTGTCCTGTCCTTTACATCATTCTTTTTTCTTCAGGGTGCAGGGCAGGGCTGCGTACCGGTAATATTACCCAGGCGTACCGAGCACTGGCGACAGACCTTACAACCTTACCGTACACCTCCACGGGAGGGAGAACAAAGCAGCCCAGCCATGGATTATGGATATCGCCAGCCTCGCAGCATTATTTGGTTCCCCTCGAAAAAATCTGACGAAAGGTGGTGGCAAGGACCGTTCAACGGTCGCTCAGAAGTATACTTCCTTCCAAGATCCGGCAATTCGGAAAGATTCGTCCTGCGAAATCCATTTGTCGGACCCTTAAACGGTCGACCTGGTCTATTATGGATTTAATCAGTGTCTAACAATCTAGACTCCCTAGTACCCTACTGAGTAAAATGCTCCCCGGGTGCCGTGCCCCCCGTATCCTTATTCTTTACCCGAGCTTATTCCGCACGGGTCATTCGGTCTTTTTCTTTTTTTCAGTTTATTTTATTTTACCTTGTGCTTTTTCAAGTTCAGCAACTGATCAGAAATCCAATAGGGCCACCCTCGTCAACAGGAATCAACGACCCTGAATCGATCGTTCTTGTTGCTGAACTGCCAGCCTGGGGAATACCTGACGGGAAAAGCCAGCCGGGCCGGAAGCTACGGCATGTACCCTGTACAGCAAGTTATGTACCGTCGAGGGAGAAACGGTATGTCCGGTGTCATTATTGGACGGGGACGAGAATGTTACCTAGGGAACCTGGTGATTCTCGTCGGTGGCAGTCGATTATACTCTCTAGATATACGCCGAAGAACGTAGAGTCGATATACTTAGCCCGGAGCATGCAGCCTCATAAACGCATTGTATTAAAGATGAATACTGAACAGTGCCAGAACGACGGCTTCCATGGGAGCCCAAGTGTCACCCACTTTCCGCGAGTCGGAGAATGGATCGATGGGGACTGAAACAGGCTAAAAGCTGTCGGAGACGGCACATGCTTATGCCAGACGGTCCACTCGCGGAGCCCTGGCAGAGACTGGAGGTGTACGGTGTACATTATTATTTTATCCGTACATGTTGCATCTTCTGCATTCTTGTCCCTTTTGCTCTGCCCACATCCTGACGCACATGGACTGTGCATCGTAAATTAAATATCCTCCGTATGTACTTCAGTCCTCGGATCGTGACGGTTGTTATACCAAATGGATCGGAATTCCCTGGGTTGACGACGGAGTTCCCCATCCACGACAAACCCCCTTTTCCCTCTCTCCTTTTCAGGGCTTGGCAGGCTGTTTGGATCGCTCGATGCAGTAAAGTCAGGCTCCATTCTGACGGTGGTTGTCGGGTACTTTTGGCTCTGTGATTGGGGCTGGCAAGTGATCTTCTCGCTGGATGCATGTCGATAACCTCAATTCTGTTGGATTAAAATTTCTGCTATGAGACATATTCACAGTCCCCCCCCTTATCCATTGGTTTACGGAGTAGTTAATTACCAGGGTAATTTCCCTTGGGGCTCCGTCCGTTACGTGAGCTGTGCACAGTGAGATTTATTTTGTTTTGTTTTTTTCTTTCTTCCTTCCTTTTTCTTCTGTGTAATTCGAGAATTCCTACTCTTCTGATCGGTAATCAATTTTTTGACTTTCTTTGTTTATCCCGGGAGTATGTCTATGGAATGGTGCGAAAGTACGGATTACAAGAAGCCATCCGGGGAGAGCCGACCGAGAACGAGAAGGTCAAAGACACGCCAAAAGAAAAAGAAAAAGAAAAAATGGGTGCTTTAAATCCTTCTCCGGAATCCCCAGACGGACAATGTTCCGTCCACCGACCACCTGGCCAAGTGGCATAATTCATCGTTATCCTTGTGTACACAGTGTCATCTTGTTAGATTGACTTTACACCGGAAGATCCTAAAAGTTATGTTTACTCCGCCGTACTTGACCGGATGCTGCTGGTTCTGCTGATTTTTATACTTTTCCCAATCTGATGTCAGAAGACTGTCTTACCATTAACTATGCACTCGGTACATAGGACGTGGCTTAGATATTTACCCCTCCGCACTGAGGATGACTTCACCAACTATCTCGCGTGCGATGTTTATGACAGACTGGCGTTGCGGTCCGATCGACCGCGAACTGGTGTGGAGACGGGCGAAAAGGTCTAAAGTTCGATCTGCACTTCCCAGCCCCTTGGCCGCCACCGCGTCCACTGCGTCCACTACGTCCACTACTCCGTACAGCCCGTCGGCAACGCGGAATATGTCAACTTCCGATCCTCCATAGATTGGCCAGGGGTAACAGGCAACGGGGAAACTGGCTGAGATGCGGAGATCTGTCTGCGATTGATCACCGATCCAGTACTGATATTCCTTTCTCCTGAATCTCCAGACATAAATAAACTGGTTGAAATAACTACTTAAAAGGGAACATGTCTGCCTGTCTGCCTGGAGACCGAGAGGCTCGGCTACTTGGCAAGTCATCTACCAAGATACCTCTACAATGCGTCGTACCGCATTACGACTACAAGGGACTTGGTGACTGAGGCTGTGTATCCTGTTAACCTCCTGAATTGGCAGCCTCGTGATCACTGATCAACTTTACTGTGTACCTTTTAGGCCGAAGAAACCCAACCCCGTATCTTATCCATGTGCATCAGAATCAACGGTACGCATCGCTATATATAGAACCATGCTACAAATTAGCTTTCTCCTGGCAATTAGAGTAGTCTCTGTCTAGCAATAGACCGTTTCAATCTTCAACTCTTCTCGAACCTGCCCGCGAACTACTCCGTATGCTCCTGGTAGCTCCTATCTATAACCGGATATCGGGAAATATAAGCTGGTTCCATGGTACGACGGTCTGAAGTTGCACCGGTTCAGTGAAGCAGGGTTGACATCATCACGCCGCAGCCACCGGAATGCGGGCCATCAAAAGAAGCCTCCAGCCGAGTTTTCTGTGCTTTTTCCATCTGCTTCGGCGCTTTGCAGACATCCCCGCTCCGATCTTTTTTTATCTTCTCTGCGTTCTTACTCGGTATTGTCTTTCGTTTTGATCATATTCTCCGTAATTAGTAATTATATCATAGAGCTTACTTAATTTACCCTGCATAAACTGTTCTTTCTACCGAATTTCTAATAACTAATTAAACGGAGAATTCCTGTTACTACAGTACTTCCGGATCTTCCGGACTCCGACGGCGTCGGTCCCGAACGCCGGCGTGCACAAAAGTTAAGAGATTTCGTCGCTGGGATATATCTGGACGAATGCAGATGCTGATGGCAAGGTGGACTGCCGGTACCCGACTCGTAAAGACCAAAGAGAGACAATTTGTCGAGTCAGCAGTGGAGACAACCAGATAGTGATACTGACCGGATTGGGCGACCAGAAGGAGCCGCTTGATGACACCTCAGGCATAAAATACCATACAATGAAGTTGTCTCCGTAGTTCGGTTGAGGTTGGGATACAAAAATCGTCTGTTTACACTCAACAAAGATGTAGCAGATAAAGAATAGAAGTCTATAGAATACATTGCACTGTTTATCGCTTCAATAACTTTCCATCTTCATCCCAGGTTAGATAGACAGCATCATCTTCATGGAATCATCGATTCCTCTGCGAGAAAGTGCTTACTAACCCGCCAAGCCCTCCCCACCCATCCCAACTGATTGGCCCATCCTCCTCCTAGCGCCAAACAAACCGAAAGGATATACTCAACTCGCGCGGGACCGTGCATCGGCCTCAATCCCACCAACTGAACTTCAGTCAGCCCGACACGAGAAGCCCGGCATGGCTCCGCCGCGTGGAATCTCCCGATACTTCAAACCGCCGGCCTTCTTGCAACAGAATGATGATCGCGCGTCCGAAACGCCCGCGAAACCATCATCCCCGGCCCCTGAGTCGTCTCCACTCACGGAGCTCTCCTCGTCATTCTTCTTGTCGAACCATGCCTCCCCGCAGGGTGCGGATGACTCGGCGTCGCAACTCAAGCGCTCGCTGATGCGCGCTGCTGAATATGCCTCGGATACCCCGAGCGAGCATGAGCGTGAGCAACTGGGTCCGTTGGATCTCGGGGACGAGGTCGTTGCGGTTCCCCCGCCGCCGCATGGAGGAGGGGCCAGCTTCGACCATGCCCCCCAGCGTATCGTCAAGAATGGGAAGGAGGTTGTGATTAGCTCTGATGGCGAGGAGACGGATTCCGTGGTGTCGCTGGAAGACCCGGAAGCGTTGTTTCTGAAGTTTGCGAAGCCGTCGGCCGTTCCTGCGCGTGAGAAAGAGACTGACGACGATGTGTTTGCTGCGTCATCCCGGCGCTCCAAGGTTGATCTGAAAGGCGGGAGGTTTGGCAAGGGCCGGAAGGCGCCGAAAGTGTACAAGAACACGATGGACACGCTCGTTACACGGGCGGTCGATGACAATGAGACTGAGGCTAGTGTCGCCAAGCTCAAAGCTACCTTTGAACGCGACAGAGCTCCGAGGGACTCTACTAGCGATCAGCCCAACCATCTAGACGAGAATGTCTTGACGTCGGCGCTCGGGGAGCAAGATGATGAGATGGAGATGCGGCGGTTACTAGACGCGGTTCGGAGAACTGAGGCGTTTGATCTGGAGAAGATCTGGACCTTTTTTGACTACGAAAGTGGGGTGGCTCCGGCGCTGGAGTTCCCTCGAGGTTCGGTCAAAACGGGGACATATATGAGTACACTGAGAGGTAAGTTGATGTACTTGCGTCCCTCCCGGGGCTCATTTCTGATCGGTTTTACAGAACCCGACTCGCGGGAACGAGCGTTTTACTCGGGCATACTTGACTTTGCGCTGTCGAGGGGTTTCCTTCCGGATGATATACTTCTATGGATATTCCACTCTGGTTTGTATACCAAACTTCCATCAATAGTACTATGCTCACCTCGTTTCAGTCCCCTCAGAGCCTCGGGAAGGCTTGAGGCATGCTTATTGCCGGTCATTTAAGGTCAGCTCCACGTCCATTGATGTCGCCTGGTTGATGCTAACCATCACAGCATTCCAAAAAAGAACGCGTGGAATCCCTCATTCGGCCTGATACCATTGACGTCCTCTTCGAACGATTGGGAGCCACCAAGGAAGCGCTGGCAGTTTCTGACCCTGTTGTTCCCCACACGCTTCCCAAAGGTCTGTCAGAATCTATGCATCTCATCTAAAAGGCCTAGCTAACCGATTAAACCCAGGCCATCTCCCAACAACGAATGCCCAACATCAGACTGCCTTGCTTTCTGTTCTAGAGCTGCTTTCCGGCATAGCAGACCTGTAACGCCCACCCACCTACCTACCTCCATCCCCAAGCACCCAAGCACTAACCCATACAGACTCTCAGATGATACCCGCGAACACGCCCTTCTCCTTCTCTTCCGCCTAACCCTCGACATCTCTCTCACCAACGACCCAGCAATCTGCTCAGCACTCGAAAGAACAATCCACGACTTATTCCAAGGCACTCCCGAAGAAGCCGACGATGACCTAGTAAGACCTCCCCTTTCCCCATAAAACAAACCTTCCCAGCAATTCTAACCTCCAAACCCAAACAGGAACTCCGTCTCTTCACCACCCTCCACACCACCATAAAAGACACCATTCTCCAAACCCGCCTCCTAAAACACATGCTCCCGTCGACCAGCCACATCGCGAAATGGCGCTCCCGCCTCTCCCTCTCCTTCATCATGAACTCCCCGAGCCCTCTATCCGAAGAAGACCCGGAAATCATGGACACCCTTCAACAAATCATCACCTTACTCAAAGATCCCCGCTTCAACATCAAACAGCACAAGGGAGCAGCTACTGCAGCGACAAAGAACCGACACAACCACCCTGCAACAGGAGAATACGACTACAACGACCTCGCGGCCATAACCTACCAACTAAACGTAATCCTCGACTCAGGCTGGTCCAGCCTCTCATTCCCTTCCAAGGAAGCAAAACAAGCATTCAACGCCTCCGTTGACGTACTAGCAGACCGAATCAAGAAGATCTTCACCTCGATCGAAGACTCTGGGGCGTCGCATTTAAAGCGCACGTTGACGAAGGGGGCATTGGAGGCGTTGCATTATCGAGTCGTTTATGCGGTGAGGACGAAGCCGCCGCCGAAGAGGACGCTGTTCGAGAGTGTAGATACGGGTCAGAGTCAGGGGCAGAAGAAGATGACTCAAATCTGGAAGGGGGTGAAGATTGACGGGGAGGAGGGGATTCCGATTAGGGGGTCTCAGGAGGTGCAGTCATGATTTATTGATTCATGGATTCAATTTTTAGGCACTAGAGATATTCCTTATAGCTATTCTTGATGATTTCGGTTAAATGATGGTATATGATCCATACTTAGCTACAGTTTTATTTCTATCTGGTTGCTTTTCCCGGGATAGACTGAGGTCGTTATAGACGGTACTATATATCACGGCAGATCGGCTTGTCCCAAACAATCACACACCCAGGCGACCAGCGCTGCATTCCCTTATTATCATCCATTGACTTCTCTCATACGCGGCCAACCAACACCGTTAGCTAAGACTATACAGAAACCGGGATCAAGAAACCAGAGAAATGACAGTTACTGTATACAAGGCTATGCTGATTCTCCGCAGGGTAAAAGCTCAGAACAAAGGAGCCGTCAGTAGATAAATACAAGAAAGCCGCAGCAAAAGAAGATCGAAAGAGAGAGGGGGAAATAAAAGGGGCGGTGCAAAGGGAATCACTAGACGCGCGTAATTATCCTGGACTAATTTTAATCGTAGAATCTCCGGTTGACGTTCTTGCCAAATAGCGTCTCCCTGACGGCGGGGAGAGCTTCGATCTCGAGCAGCCGCAGACGTTCCTCGAAGGTGTTGTTGATTTCAATCTTACCCTGACAACCCAGGATGACGACACCGCCGGCCCTAAACAAGTGAAGGGAAAGGAAGTCAGTAATAGTCTGGTATAACGGCCAAACGACACAAAAACGGAAGGAAAAGGCAGGAACATACAATCCCTCAGGCAGCGGGTCCTCCTCATCCAACTCAACCTTCACCTCCTTGCCAACGACCTCCTTGAACTCCTTCTCCGCCTCCTCAATCGCCTTCTTAACCGCATCGAAGTCCTTCTTGCGCGCCTCCACGCCCACCACCTCCTCATTCAGCGAGTACAAGCCCTCTAGAATCAAGTTCTTCAGCACGGTCTGATACTTAGACGCATCCTGGGCCGCAACGCCGGAGATCTTCTCCCGCGCCTGCTGGAACAGCTCGTCCAGCAGTTCCTGGCGGGCGGAGAGGACACGCAGCCGGGTCTTGTTGGCCAGCGTGGAGCGCGTGATCTGCTGGGACATGGCGGCCTGCTTGAACTTCTTCTCGTACAGGGTGTCGATGGCGGCGGTCTCCTGGCGGACGAGCTTGGATTTCTCGATCGCGAACTCCTCGTCGGCTTTCAGTTGGATTTCACGGGCCTTTTCGAGCGCTTCTTGGCGGATGAAGGCGGTCATTTTGCGAAGCTCGCCCGCGACCTGTTTTGGGGGGTTGCCATTTGGTTATGTTCTGTCCCTTCCTTGCATGATCTTGTGGGAGGTGGTGCTGTGTTTGGGGGATTGTATCGGGCGCGGGGTCTTGGGAGCGTACCTGGTCGTCGGAAAGTGCATGGGTTTGCGACATTTTGACGGGCAGGTGTTATGACGTCTAGGATAATTATCTGAGTCGAGAGGATGTCGGATAGGAGAGTGGGGGGTTGGGAGACAGGTGGCGCAAAGAGTCGAGCTTCCCAGAATGCGGAGTTAGAGGTGTCTGGACCGGAGAATGGCAGCAGACATGGATTAGCATAGCTCGCGATGTAGCAGCAGGGGGAGCAGATGAGGGGAGGTTCCAGAGGCTCGCCCCGTGGCCATTTGGGGAGAATGGAGGGCGTTGAATAAGGGGAAGAGATTCGAATGGAATGCTCACCTGTACCGTACGGGGATTTTCTGGGGAAATATCGGAGGGGGGTGATGCAAGTGAGGGAGAGCAGAGGAGGGAGAAAGAGAGAGAGGAGAGAGCGAGAGAGAGGGAAGGTTACAGAGCAACGTCGAGCGTGACGACCAGCAAAGCGGATCTGCTGACGATCGGGTCACCACCCGCTCTCCCGCAGGTCACCCACTCCGTTTCAACTTATCTCCTTCCCCTGCTTTCATTTCCCCCTCCACCCTCGTCTATATAACGACTCTGTTTGTCTCGTTTCCGCAATACTGAAAACATGGCGAGTATCCTCTGGCTTGTTTCTCGGCTTCTCTAATGCCCTCCCGCGTCTGGTTCTTGTCCGTCACGTTGCGACCAATGCACGAGGATACTCGAGATGGGCAATCTAGGTGACCTGTCGCCCCAAGGGAGTGTCGCGGTATGCTTCGATTCTTTCCCTGCGACTCAATGTACAATCGAACTGACTGGATCGGTGCTATTAGGTTGGTGTGGTTGTCGGCTTGATCTCGACTAGTCTCCAGGCCATTGGCTTGACCCTACAGCGCAAATCGCATATCCTCGAGGACGAAAAGCACGATTACGATCTACGAAGACCTCCGTATAAACGTCGAAGATGGCAGGTGCGCGATAAACAGGATATTTTCCATGAGAAGGATCGTGACTGACCACCTAATAGCTGGGAATGCTGATGTTCGTCGTTTCCAACATCGTGGGCAGTACGATCCAGATTACGACACTTCCGCTCCCGGTACTTTCGACTCTCCAAGCGGTCAGTATACTCGTTTCCCTGCTAGCCATACGACTTTACTGATAAAGAGGCAAATAGTCGGGTCTGGTTTTCAACACTATCTTCGCCACCCTGATCTTAGGCGAAGCCTTCACTAGATACTCCCTCGTGGGCACCGTCCTTGTCTGCATCGGCGCACTCTTGATTGCGATTTTCGGTGCCATCGGGGAACCCGCGCACACGCTCGATCAACTTCTAGACCTTCTGCAGCGACGAGGATTTATACTATGGATGCTAGGAACGGCGGTACTGGTGCTGGCCATCTTACTGGGTTCCAAATCCTTGAAATACTTCGCCTCATCGCGCGCCAAACACTCCAGCCCTCGCCATCCGTGTAGCCTTTGTCTTCAATTGCCTCCGAGTCGAGTCCGGCTGATCCGTGGATTGTGTTACGGTCTGGTCAGTGGGATTTTATCGGCACATTCGCTTCTGTTGGCCAAATCCGCCGTTGAGCTGCTCGTGCGGACCGTCGTGGACCGCGTCAACCAGTTCAACCGGTGGCAGTCATGGGTTATCTTGATTGCTATGATCTCTCTTGCCCTGACGCAGCTTTTCTACCTTCACCGTGGCCTGAAACAGTGCAGCACCAGCGTTCTCTACCCGTTCGTCTTCTGCATCTATAACATCATCGCCATCCTGGACGGGCTCATTTACTTCCGCCAGATGTCGCAGTTGACCGGCTTTCACGCGGGACTGATCGCGCTCGGCACCATCGTGCTCCTAAGCGGTGTTCTCTGTCTGTCGTGGCGCTTGGAAGCGGTCGACTCTCACGCAGCCGTGACCGTTCCCGCACCCACCCAGACCGCACTAGGACCAGGAATGGCCGTGGTCGACGAACACCCCCATTCCCCCATCGGCCTAGAGCCCGAGGAAGACGAAGAAACCCAAGTTGGCGAACGCGAACCACTCCTGCGAGCCGCTCCTCCACACCGCGGTCTTCCTCATCGACGCGCCCCTAGTCTCCCTCTCCTCTCCCCGTCACACCAACGGAGCTCCACCGACCTCGACCCAGCTTCGATCTGGGCCGAGCTGGACGATTCCGATTACGAATATGCCGACACCGACGTCCAATCCCCATTACTCAACCGGGCCGACCCATTCCAAACCCGACCACGGAGCAAAACCGGCCGAGACGGCTCCCTGCGTGTCTCCCATCCTCTGCGCGCTCATCGACTATCCCTTTCCGAACGACGAACTTCCGCCCCCGCTGCCGAAATCCGCAAGCCCACAAGACGGCATCTTGATTCAAATACCGTCCATCCCCTGGCCCGGGGATACGGCACGCAAGATGACCGGTCCGATCAGCTCTTCTCATCAAGCCACGCTCCTCATCATAGACATAGTCATAGTCATAGCCATAGTCATAGCCATAGTCATAGTCACACACGCCACACCTCATCCCCGAATCCCACCCACGCCTCTCATTCTCAATCTCATTCTCGGCCCCGCCCCCTCGCAGGCCCGAGGAGCGTCCTCAACACCGCCTGGAGAAGTCTCGCCCGGTGGACGGGATACGGACGACGACGTCCCTCCGAGGATCTCGAGGCTCTTGATTCTCGGAATGAGGATAGTCACGGGCTTTAATCTTCTCTCTGCCTCTTTCCCTCTTTGTTTTCCTTTCTTATTTCCCTTCCTCTTATATTCCCATCTATCTACCTATTCACTTCAATACCATCCATCCTCGATCCCACCATCTCACAAGATAGAATAAAAAAGCAAACCAGAAACCATTCATTCCCATTTTCATTTCCATTTTATACATGATCCGATATGACACATTAGCACATCTCCTTTTCATCATTTCCAACTAACCGATCTAGATGATAAGCTAAACCTTATGTTATGTGCATGTATGTTTGTCCTGTACAGTATATATAGTCCAGTATACTATGGATTGATTGGGCTCCATCTTTCCCATTATCTTTGTCTTTAACTTTATTCTTTATCTCTATATATAGATAGCAAGAGAAGGATGTTTCACTGTTTCACATGACTCGAGTTGATTTGTCTCTTTCTCCGAACACGTGCACATAACATAACACGATGTGATATGATAATAATACATACAAAGAAAAACGTCTAGTTACTCTACGTAGGCTTATACACATAAGATAATGAATGAATGAATCAATAAATCATCAATTGATTTAATTGAAGAACTTAAGATAAAAACTAAACACAATACTAACTAGGCGAAATCAATGATCAAACAAACCACCAGAAACGGAAGCAACAAGACAAACCCCACCGAAGAAACAATAGCAAGACCAAATAAGATAAAACATCGACGAAGGTAAAGTAAGAGAGACATGCATTGAAGAAAAGAAAAAGAAAAAGAAAAAGAAAAAGAAAAAAGAAATCTCCAATTTCTCCATACCATACATATACTGAACGAAACGACGAAAACACAACGCAGATATCAAATCCATCCATCCCATCCAAACCCATCCCATATCTCAGATAATATAAAGGTTACGGAGTGTCAACCTCCCCGTGGATATCTGAATCCATTCCATCCGATCCCGATGTAGGTCACTTGCTCGAGTCTCCTACAGTCGAGGGTTGATATTATTGCTGGCACCAGTAACGGGTATTAAGGGAAACCACAATCACCATCACGCAAGCACTCAGATCGAAATCGAAACGAGACGAGACGAGACGAGAAAGGAGAGAAAACAGAAAGACTCAAGGTCGAGGAATTCAGATCAAATAAAAACTAGGTGGGAAATTAGTCAAAACGCAGAATAGGAACAAATTATGAAATAAGCATAAGAGGTAAAAGATAACAAAAACAGAGAACCACTTCGCCAGCAGAAATAAGAGAAGAGAGACAAAAGAAGAAAAAGCACCAGAAACACCGCCACTTCCCCTGTTCGTCTAGCTGATGAATTAGGAGATGTTGAGATGAACAGAAAGCAAGAACAATTAGAAGCCCTAGCCTTCGAGGGAGGTCCAGAATAGAATGAAAACGCTCGCATCCATCGTGGTTCATCGTCAATTTGAAGCTGCTTCCCTGCTTTTTTTTGTTTTTTTTTTTTTTTTTCGGATTTTCTTTTTCCTTTCTGTTCAGTGCTTTTTCTGTTTCAGGGGCAATTTTTTTTTTTGGCTTGTTTTGGTTCTCTTTTCTTTGACTCCCTTTCGTATGAAGCTCTCACATATCAAAGGTTCAAACAGCACGCAAACAACTAAGACCACAACTGAGACTCGTGCAGATTCTGGGGCTTCCTTTTTTTGAGACATTTTTCCAAGGTTTTCTTTCTCGAACCAATAGCTCGTGATATACACTGGGTTACAAAAGAAAAGGCATCAACTTTCTCGTCCTCGTTCGGATGGTTCTCAGATGATATACGATCGAGACCGCTTCTTGCTTCTTTTTTTCTTTTGGGAGGGGGGCTAGGAGAGTATTCGATAGTTTGGCAAAAGGGATCGGGTGGTGGGTATCAAGAGAGAAGCCCGGAAAATAAGCGGAGTTGCAACTTGTTGAATATGAAACAAGGATGCGATCACAGATGGAATCTGGGACCCCCTCGGCAAGCTTCCTGAAGGACAAACCATGCGTAGAAGCGGGCAAAAAGAAATGAAATAGAGCGCCACTACACACCTACGCGGTGGGTTGATGCTGAGGGGGCATGCGGTTGCCTACAGGCATACCGGGATACTGCCCGCTCGCCTGCTGTTGCTGCTGCAGGTTCTGGTAGTAGGCCATCTGCTGTTGCTGTTCGTTGGTCATGTAACCAGGGTGGATCCCTGCAGGACGAGGCATGTTCGACTGCTGAGCGCTGACGTTGTTGTGAGCCACATCCTCGGGCGCCTCGGCGGGCACCTCAGGGGCATCGACACCGTTCTCGTTGGTGGTAGGATCGGGAGCGTTGAGGCAAGCCTAGAGATTAAGACCAAGTTAGTCGAATTCGAGTCATCATCCTTTGCGCGCGTCGAGTCGCCTTGCAGTGGGAAGAACGGGGAGGGAAGTCTCATTTGACTCACCTGGATGAGGTTCTTGCCCTCGGCCTTGGTCACCAACGGTTGAAGCTTGGGAGTCGTAAAAGTATAGACGAGACCGGTTTCCGACACGACCAGGAGCAGAACTTGGGTACCTGTGAGGACGGAGAGCTCGTAGGCCTAGAATGCGACCGCATTGGAGTGGTTAGCTAAGAGATCCATTGGACGCGACCGAGCGAAAATGCAGCCCCGATGGAGGGATCAATGAGACGGCGATCCCTTGGATGAGACCGCGACAGAAATGTGGAAAGAAGATCCAAAAGCGACCTTGCTCAATGAAAAAGAAAAAAGGAATGGTGGTTGAGACGAAACGCGAAAAGAAGCACGTACCTTCTTCATGATACCCGCCTTCCGCTTGGAGAAGGTGATGTGGCGACGCGACTTATCCTGGATGAACTTGATCTCAATCTTTCTGCGCTCGCGACCGGGCTTGTCATCATCATCGTCGTCGTCGTCGGCGCTCATGCGAGAACGCTTGGGACCGCGGTTGTCAGCGGCGCCGTTACCGGCGGCCTGCTGCAGGTCATCCTGGGTGGGAGACGGGTTCTCCTCACCGACGGCGGTGATGTCGGCCATGATGGCAACGGGGCGGGCGAAGGGGGGACGAAGGGGAGGAACGGGGGGAGAGGGACTCGACGAGGCAGGTCAAGACCAGGCAGGAAGATGGAATCGAGGAAGGCCTCAGTCTGGGGTAGAGCGAAGATGCCCAAAGAGGAATGATGCTTTTGAGGGGGAGGGAGAATGACCAAATCGAGTAACGCGTTTGCTTCGCAGGGTTTGGGTTCAGGACGAGAGAAGGAAAGAGGGAAAGTAATTCGGGGGAAGGAGAAAGTATTCGAAGAGGGCATGGCGTGGAAGGCACTTGGGCAGGCGGTGAGTCACGTGTTCCCTGGGTGGGTCCTCACCTCTCAGTTCTCCCTCATCCTTCAGGGAACTCCCTTTACCATCTACCATCTGGTACCATCTACTGTATCTCACTAAGGTGTTTACGGAGTAGGTAGGTATTCTTTCTCATCCACACCTCAGGCATTCTCCGATTCTTTCCCTTTTCCCCTCTTTCTTTCTGCTTCTTCCATCCCCCCGTCCGACATAACCATACCGTACTGTCCCAGGTTTGTCCAGACCCAGCCATGGAGATCCTCGGCCTTGGCAGCCCTCCTAATTGGAGCAGCCGCCTGCAAGCATTGGGGATTCGACGCGACGGCCAACACAACCTGCCCCACTTGGCCGTATCCTTACGGCTCGTACGGTATTCCTCGCCCCCAAGGCCCCAACTACCGTCCCTAAACCACCAATCCACGCAGTAAGACTTTAGACGGGACTTGCAGGCGATAGGGGAAGACCGACGGGGTGACCTACCCTAACAGACCCTAACTTAGCCCACCCTAGATAGGTAGACTAGGTAATCACTTTGTCTACCTGTTTAAACATATGCAGAAAACTTAGGTTCTTCTTACTGACCGCAGAATCCTCTGCATAGACATCCTCCTACCTACCTACCTACCTACCTACACCACATCATGTAGTATGTACCCAGTATATCCTCCCTACCTCAATAGTCCCTTCACCATCACCCTAAGATAGTACATACATACGGAGTAGTTACATCCTACATGGATAACATAACTAACTAGTTGGCGGGTATTATAAAAAAAAAATAGTCAAACCAATAATTACCTCCCAAGCCTAGCCAACCCCGCCAATAATGGCTGCTGGGCCTGCAGCTAGAGATGTACTTGCCCCGGTCAACGTTCTATTTTAAAGCCCACGAGACTCTCTCCTTGGTTGTCCCCTTTCTTTCCCCTCCTTGGGGGGGAAGGGGGGGGGGATTTAGTTTCTTTAGTTTCACTTTCCTGGCTTGAGGAGGAGTTTTGCGCGCGCCCTCTCTCTCGCTCTCGTCCTTTCTCTCTGACACACACTCTCACACACACTGTATGTACATACGGGTGTGTACTCCGTAAGAGAGAGAGAGAGAGAGAGAGAATAGATTGTCTCAACCCTCCTCGTGCTGCTCTGTCGATCGCAAATAAATCCACCTACCTAGCTATCCCCATTTGTGCAAGTCAACTATCAAAGCCGAAATCTTTATTATGATCTTCATAGAATGGGTCCGATATTTCCCATAGTACTACGATGGGGGTACGATACGATCAGGGAAGGGAAGGGTATTGTTCTATATTTATATCTCTCTCGAGTCTCAACTACCGAACCACCGAGCCACTGGGTAGTCTATACCCGATCCTCACAATAATAATATATCTAAATAACTACCTACCGAACCATCAAACGAACGATAAGAGTAAGAAGAACAAGAATAATATAATATAATATACTCCTCTATAGTAAACTATGCATGCCACCCATGCAGTTAGTTATGTAAATTATCCCAACAACAAAACCAAAGAAAGAAAAGCCAAGTCCAACCAAGCTCCTCGTCATTGAACCCGAACTGCCAGGAGATTGTATCCAAGGCTGCATAGTACGAGATCAGAGCGGCCTATTCGTATTAGACGGACCCTTTGTACTTTAAATCGGGTATACTTGTTGGATTATGTATGTTTCGTAGATTAGTTGTGTATGTAGGTAGGTCGTAGTTGAATATAGGTGTACTGCCTTGCCTATATTTTAACGGAAGTACATAAATAGCCAACTTATATCGAATAAGTTACTTCGGACTCGAAGAGTCTCTCCCCTACCTATACAAAGACATTATATTTAGATATGCATGTCATTATATACGAAGTACCTCAGTAAACCGAGTTACATAGGCAAGTAAGCAGCGAGCCGGGAAACAAAGTTGAACCGGATAACGTTTAACATACATAACCATGAAGTCATAGATAATCTCACCCAAGTCATTTTTACGTGACCAATAGTTAAATCCAACAAGATCCTGGAAGTTGTTCTACATTGGAAGGAAAGGAAAACGGAGATGAGAAGGGATGATTGACATTGTGTTGCATTTCTACCTATACCGTAGAAGAACGCGATTCAGTCGAAAATGGGCTGGACTTTCATTCTCAAGCCCCAGCAGCCAACGCTCAACATTAAATTAATCTAATTAATCTAATTAATCAAGTCCGTTAAGGTCAAGGCAGCAACAATTAAGATTAAGATCAAGATTAAACGAGAAGCAGGTTGTCAATGTGAAACGGGAATCTGAAACATCGAGTCAGAACACTTTCTACTCCGTGGAGCCGACCGCGTACACATCCGTGCCAGCTACTGTAGTTACTCCATCTCATCCACTATGGCATGGTGTGATCGCAAACCAAACAAATCTCGAAAAAATAGATTAAAAGAATATAGATCTAGGACTTCACTTCATAATATTTCTGGCATAATGGCAAATGCGCTAATCTCCAAAAGCAAAAAAAAGCAAGACGGACCTGAGCACCCGGCCGGGAATTCTATTTTTACAAATGCATCGCAAGCAAAAGCCTCGCCGAGTTGTAAGCGATACTCCGTAGAATAAACACGGGAGATATAGGAGCAAGTGGAAAAAAAAAAAAAAAAAGATAAAAAAAAAGGAAATGGAAAAGGAAATTTGACGACTCGTGAGTAAGTTCGTGGAGAGCATCGCATCAGTTGACTGACGGATGCTCTTGGAAAACCACCGTTTGCCGATCTTCGACTGCGCTGTTCGTAGACTCCGCCAATTCAACGCCGGCAAATGAACAATTCAAATATATGGATCGAAGGTGTTTCCACAGTCGAAAATAAACCAAAGAATCCGTCCATGCACGACACATCCTTTTCTTCTTTTCATCTGTCGATACTGGCAGTTGTTCTCTGACCCGAAACGAACCCGGGGAGAAATCGAGGCTTGGTTGGTATAGTGTGAAGATAAAAACTTGAAAAAAAGAATAGAAAGCAATGTAAATAATGTGCAAGAATCGAAAGCAAAAGAAATATAATAGTAAAAAGGCAATTCACAGATCCCAAGGGCCAGCCTTAGCATCGGTTGAGTGTGGTTTTTCTCATTTCCCATCCATACATTGTTCGAAAGCCGATTTAGTGCAACCGGGTAGGACGGGCAGCGTAGTCCCGAACACCGGCACCACCGCCGCCCTTGGGTCCGAGCCAGACAATCTCGATGACGCTGTGGCCTTCATCTTCCTCACGAACGTACCACTGGTGGACATTGTCACCGACAACGAAGGCTTCTCTCAGCAACCAGCGGTCCTTGAGGATACCCGCCTGGTCGCGAAGACGGAGAGGTCCGAGACGGCTCTCGTAACCGCGGGGGTCTTCCTCCCACGTCTTTTCGGCGTGGTCGAAGTTGATCGCATCGTCGGGGGTGTTTTCATCATAGGTGTACTTGACGAGGGAGTATCCGTTGGTGAAGACCCAGAAAGTGCGGGTGGAGCGTCCGGTCGAGTTGTTGATGTATTCCTCCTGGTCAAAGACCCAGCGACGCAGGACAGACTTGCGACCGGCGGCGGCTGCCACGGTGGTCATCTTGACAACGTCCTTGGAGTACCAACTGTTCCAGTGGTGCAGGGACTCAATCTTGCGGCCCGACTCGTAGACACCGTCGACCTCACCCTTCATGTCCATCTGGTACAGAGAGGGCCAGAGGGTCAGATCCGTGTCACCGAAGCGCTGGATACACTGGCCGAGTTTCTGGTCACCGGGTTGTTCACCCCAGGCCTGGCACTCATCGTAGTACTGCTCCAGGACGTCGAGGAGGGGCTTCGAGACGAAGACACCGGCACCACCGAAAGCGATGTGACCGAAGGTGTCAACCTGCCAGCTGGCTTCAGACAGGGCTCCGATGTAGTGCTTCTTGTTAACATCGAAGAGCTTGAGTTCCTTGGCAATGGTGGGGAGGGACAGGAAGAAAGTGTCATCGTCCATGAAGCCGAGCCACTGGGTCTGAGGGCGCTTGGTTCGGATGTGGTTAGCAAACGCCTCCACCATGCCGAAGTAACGGGCAGTGAAGTCAAGAGGAGACTGAATCAGAGTGACGTCCAATCCACGGTTGCGGAAGTAAGTCTCCTGCTTGGGGATATCGTCATCCGACATGGGAACCAGAACGACGATGCTGGCCTTGGTGTTGCCGTACGAGTAGAGGAGCGAAGGAAGCAAGCGATCGAGACGATCGGCTTGGGTGGCCAAACCGAGCAGGATCTTGTCCGTCTCCTCCACATCGTCATCCGCAGCCACGTCGACATCGATGATCGGAGGGCAGGTCGATTCCAGGTTCTGCTTGTTATCGGGAGAGATGACCATGCCACGCTCGAGAACAGTCATCGGGGGGAGGACGGGGACGTCGATGTCCTCGAGGGAGTTAAACTCGGCGTCAGCGTCAACATGACGAGGGCGGAAGTAGGCACGGGTGTAGTTCTTGCGAGGGAGCCATTCCGTGAAGGGCAGAGGAGCCACAGCACCGGGGTCCGCGTCACATTGCACAGGTTGGGGCGGAGACTGCAGCTGGATCTGGGAGGCACCGGAGTTAGAGACGCGATCGATCGGGTGCTTGAAGCGCATGAAAGCCGCCCGATCGAAGCGTTCGATGGCCCAGAAAAAGAACCCTATCGAGAAGAGGGCCACGAGGGGGAAGATGGTCTTGA